TAAAGATTTAACTTCCTCTTAGAAATTATATTACATTAAACAATTATCTAATAAAGATTATTTTTCTTTTGAAATTGTAAATATTTGGGCTTTTATTTGACTATAGATTTTTTCCAAAGTATTCTCAACATTACATTTAAACTCCATTATTTAATCTAGTATGGTTTTGAAGAGATCCAATCTCACTTGGATCTCTTTAATCTTATTTTCTTATCTTTTTGTCTTTAGAGATTATATTCTATCCTTTGTCTATTCAATGGTTGATATCATGTTACTATTCATTTTCTCTACTAAGCAATTACAACACATGTATTAAAAACTACCTTTATCTTATGTATCTAGATCTACAGCGACTATCTCTCGTTTATGAATTTGACAAACAATTTCTAAGATCTCTGCCTTTTATTGTTGTATTTATGAAGTTATAATATTCATTTTTATGTTTAATAATTAAATAAATAATGCCATCTCCTATCCTATACTCATTAAGAATAAATGTAATTCTATTAAAATAAATTATTTATGATAATTAAAATTTAGATATCTACGGCAAAATACAATACATATGAAAATAAATTTCAAAAGCAACCACTAATCAATATAAGTCAATAATTTTTTTTTTTGAATAAAATTCAATTGCTATTGATCAAACAGTTCAAAAGAATGATTGAAGTTTTCTAATAGAAAATATTTCACAACCTTATTTATTTTTAACTCTTTGTTAAAAGAAACTGATGAAGTATGTGTGAAGAAAACAATAATTGAGTTTGTAATTTTATGGAGATACTTATTAAAATTACAATTTCTTTTCAAGATGACTTCATATTTAATAAAAGTCATAGAAATATATGTTTTCAAATAAATTTATTAAATGATGGACAGCTGATAGAATAAATGATTTTTAATGTTAAATTTGAAAACAGTCACAACCATTTCTTAAAGCACTAACATATGGAGATTGATATAAACTAACTTATCCTGCTATGAAATTTCAATATTTTATTTCCAACTGCCTCCCAAAATTCTCAAAATATTTTTAAATTAATATTTAGACATAGCATATTAGTAACAATCTTAATAATTCATCTAAATCTCTAAAGAAAGATTTGGTATCTAAACTGATTCAACTACTTGTTTGTTTAATAAAGGCAAATTAAGGTTGTAAAATTGTAAAATATTAAATTCAACATCGTTGAAGGGCTATTTAGATCCATTAATTAAAATTTTTAGCTTAATATTTTTCTGAATTAATTTTTTTTCGATATATAAAATTTAAGCATTTGAAGAATTTTTTTATTTTATAATAAAGTAATCTGAGTTCTCAATCTTGTAATCTTAGTGATTTTATCCAATAACACGGGGGGAATATGAAATTATTAACCAGGAATTCAGTTTGAGAAAAGGATAGCATGAAAGAACTCTATAGTAAAGTAGACAAATTAATGATGCTAAAATAGGTAAAATGAAAACTTGTTCTCAGATTTTAAGGATTATATTTTAAATGGAAATAGGGTTATAGCAGAAGAGTTTAAATTTATTTTTCAACTGCCTTAATAAATTATACTTTTGAACTTATGGTGGTTCTGTTTATTCAATCAACTACTTACCTTATCTATTTTTAAACTCTTGAAGTGTCTTAAAGTCAATAAAGGACATCACTCCAAATAAAAAATCTGTTCAATCAAATTTTGATTGAACCTGAAATTAGCTTGAAAACAATAAATTAAAATTACATTAAATTTCACCGATAGCCTTGATTTCATAATTTTCCAAGGTTAAAGAATTCAGAATTATTTAACATCTTATCTTAATAATAATAAACAAGTCTATCATTTAATAGATAACTTAGTTTATTAGAAGACTTTTCTTTCTTTTTTTTATTAAGATAGATTATTTATTAGTCTTGTTTACTTAGTAAAATGAAGCTAAAGTATAAATTGATACAGATTTTAATGAACCTTGAATATGATTGGATCTAAGGTTAGGTCAAATATTTATAACTAGATTCATTCACTATAATACCTTCTTGCTACTTTTATAAATATTTTTCAATCATTAATAGACATTGTTGAGTCCGAACTAAGAGAAATTTAAAGGAACTCCCCTTATTTTCCCTAGAATTAGAATCGCAAAAAATTAAAAAAAAACAAAGCTGCTTCTTAAAACATGCTCAAATTGGAGCTGATGCTCTCTTTAAATGTGAACTCTCTGTTTCAAAAGTAATTTGAGTTTTTAAGGGAGAAGAGGATCTATTAGATTAGTGTTGAGGGATCATTGATGATTAAGAATAAATAGATTATTCCTCAATAGAAACAGATCTTAATCAAAAAAGGAAAATCGTTTAAAATTGGTTTAATCTATTGGAAGCCTTGATTGTTTGATATTAATCAAAAATATTAGGAATTAAACTTTAAAAGGGCTTCTGTTTGAATTAGGAGATTTAGATGAAAAAGGATTAGAAATAAAAACAAGTTAATGGGATAGGATCTGCTAATTGCTATTGAGTACATACTTGAAATGCCATAAAATTTATATTTTTAAGTAAAAATTCAACTAATATTAAATTGCTTATTTTTGTTTATAAATAGAATTTCAACAGAAAATGATAATTAGTGTTCAAAATATTGGCATAAGAAGTATATTATTTCTAATTTAATATTGAATAAAATGCAAAGAGAGGATTAGAAATTGAAATTGAATGGTGAAGGAAGAGGAAGATAGATTTGCGGGACTATTGCTTTAACATTCAAATTTAAACAAGGTTTTGAATTGCAATACAATTAAAAGTCATGCGTTATAAAAGATCATACTCTAGAATATGACTAATGGCAGTTTTAGCTAATCCAATGGTCCTGAATACTGAGTACTATAAATGAAAACGAAGAAATCAAATTTGATGTCAAGGACTAACATTTGGATGACATTTCTGACTTTGAAGAATAGAAAAAATGGCAAGAATCTAAAACTTCTCAATTTTTTATTCCTTATTTAACTATCAGTCCAGATCATCGATATATAATTATATGTGTTGCGGTAGAACTTATATAAAAGATTGAAACTTAAAGAATAATCATTATTGATACATTTAATCCCAATATCAAAAAGGTGTTTTTCAGGACTTTTTTTATGGGATACTAAAAACCATAATTTTCTAAGGATGGCAATTTCGCTTTCATCAATATTACAAAAAATGAGGAGTAATCGAGCTTCTTAATATTGAATATTAAAAATGGAATATAAAAAGAAAAAATCATTAAGTTGCATCGTTCAGTTAGAAAAATAGATTACGATGCCTAATCTGGTTGGTTGTTTTATATAACGAATTATTGCAAATTACATCAATCACTTTTAAATTAAGATGGAACTATTGATAAATCAAAGAAACAAATCTATAGAATTAATTTGGGACCAATCGATTTGTCTGGTTCTTTTATGCTCTCGCTCTACTTAGTGATTCAATGGTACTTGTTGTAGATGATATAGGCCGCTTTATTGTTTCTAGAATTAGAAGCAGTTGTAAAACAGTAAAATAATATTTGTCTAATCAATATTTACCTCCATAATACACATTTAAAAAGGCGTTTGTTGTTATGGCTGATTCAAATTCGACATAAGTTGTTCTGCTAGATATTTCAAGAGGCAAGTTAATTAGATCGATATATGGGGCTAATTATTATTCCAAAGTTTATGGTTATCATTAGAAAGATTCATCTTTTCTCTCTTTTGTGGCTTTAAGGAGTTGCAAAGAAACCAATCATAATTAGGTTTCAGTTGGGATTGATAGTGATAGCTAGAGTGAAATGAGAAAAAAAGGTGGATTTTTGACTTTATTGGAGGAACTGAAATTGAAATACAAGGAGATGATTCTTCCGAAAGTTTCTAAGATATATTTACAACAAATATTACAATGAGATTATACGATAATAAATTAAGTCATAAATTAAAACTTTGAGCATCATAGCTTAAAGAAATATTTGCTAATATTAATAATTTAAATTCTTTTTGATTAGCCTTTCGAAAATAATATTTCTGTTTTTTTCAATACAATTATAACTCGTGATTCAACTTAAAGAATTATATTAGATTATGAATATGATGAAAGCAATTCATTCACATTTAAAATATTGAATTTGACTACTTTTATTTTTGGTTTTATACTACAAAACCTGAATCAATAGAATAAATCTAGGATATGCTAGAAAGGGAAGACTAATCATATCTAAAATCATTAATAATAAAATCCAGAAGAGTTGACAAATACTAAAATAGGAGAAACATTAGATGATTGGAATGTTTAGAAAGATTCTTATTAAAGAATCTAGAGGTGAAAAAGAATTTATGGTATTAAGAGGTTAAATCCTTTTATGTAAAGTTAAATAAGGTAATGAAAGAGAGAGAGATATATTTTGAAATAGAGATATGTTAAAAACGAAAAGAAGATTTTTATGAGATATTAGCTTCAACAAAAAAATATATTGATGAATATTAACTTAATGGGGTTCTAGAAATCTTTAGATAAGAGGAGATTAAAGATTGTCTACAATATTTTCTTAAGTACACGAAAAAGAATAAGGACTAATTAACTCTAAGTATATACCTAATATTCTCAAAAATTTTAGTGAAATATACTTCCATAAAAAGAATTATTCTTCTAAAGAGAAAAGATTTCTATCTTTATTTCTAAGAAAACTATACTATTATAGAGAAGTAATTGAAATTGTTAAGTCTAGCTAGCAATTGAAAGGATTTCCAAGTTATGAAGAAACTTACTTTATTCAATGACATTAAAATGAAGTGAAATTTTACAAGTTTTATCATCATTAAATTTTGATTTTGTAAGTAAAATCCATATAGAGAGACTTTTAAATCTTGTATGTTTTCGGATTAAGTTTAATTGCTTCATCAAATCATTCCTCAAATTTCACTTGAACATTATTAATCAGCAGCCCTTTAAAACCTTATAAATGGTCTCTATTATTTAAAAACTTCTCTGAATTTAAGTTTTAATTTGAATTTTCGATTTTTGATTTTATTTCAGATTCTTCTCTTAAGTTATTTTACCTTAGTCCATCAAATAATTTTTATAATATGTAACCTAAAGTATTGCTTTTTTTATGAAGTTTAATTCATAGTTTAAATTAATAATAATTTTCTTTCGTAACTATATTTTCCATGAAAATATGCATTTTGAACAGAGTTTTAGCAAAATAACAACTTCATAAGTTAATATTCTATGTTCAAGATTTTACATCAATAACTCATTTGATAAATCTATCATAATTGAAATAATACAACATATAAGTTTTCTCTTTTTTTCTCAATCCATGCTATCAATATTTTAAAATATTATAATTTCATCATTCATTTCCTATTTATATCTTACATTTTCACAAAATTGAGATTTACTTCTTAAATCAATTATAACCTTATATTTTACAATTTTAGAGATTTAATGTTTAATAAATCAATTAAGCCTAAGAATAATGAAACTATTCAACAGAATTCTTGTTATAAAGGAAAAAATATAATGCCAGAAATTAAAACACCTTTTCTAAAATAAATTTCTCGTTAATTTGCTTAATTAGTTGTTGATCATTATATTTTATCTAAAAACTAATTGAATCATAAATTATAATTATAGAAGTATTTTATAATTGATTTCTTTTTCAATCAAATAATATATAAACCAAAAGAATTTATTACATCTTAATGACCACTTTCACCTATCGAATGACAATTTAATTAATAGAACCAGAAATTTAGTTTAATTAATTGAACCAGATATTTAGAGATGATTATTTTTTCATTTTTCCTTAACCTTTCAGCTTCCTTTTTCTTTTTATCCAATCCTTGCTTGGCATATTTTAATTTCCAAATTTGATTTTATTTTATCTAAGTTATTCTGAATTTCTTATTAAAAATATCATTTTCTTAGATCTTCTTATAGTTTTATTAAGTGTTTTCATAAGTTTTAATTGCTTATTAAGAAAATATTACAATTCAGCCCTTGTAAATTATTCTATCGGAATCTTCATATGATTAAGATATTTCATTTCTTAATTAACTAAGGAAATTAAGTCAATGAGCCAATTTTATCAGGTAGTTTATCATCCTCAATCCTAAGATCTATTGCTACTGGCTGCACCATGTTTCCAATTCTTTTATCTAATTTTTATTAACCTCATTTAAGGTATCTCCCGAAGGCAGCATTGAGTAAATACTAAAATATTAGATTTGAAGGGTACATTTCTTGTAAATCAACTCCTATTTTAATCAATGTTTCTTACATTTATTCAATCAAGCCTATTGATGCGTTTCTTCCTTATAATTTTATAACCATATGATAGATCATTATTATTATTTTTCATCTCCATTAATAAAGTTGATTTTAAATAAATTTATTAATAATGGAATATATGAGAAAAAATTTGAATTAACTTTATTCGCTCTCTACACATGTAATTCTGTAATGTATTTGTATTTTAAAATAACAGATTTGATTGTCTTCATTAATTTTCTATTTAAATCAAAATTTTTTGGTGCTTCATTTGTTCAGAATGTAATAACCATTAAGAAAACATTGTCTGCGCATAAAATGCTGAACCAAACTTTTACAAATATTCTTCAACATCCTCTACAAAAATTTTAACATAAGTAAATGATAAAGTTGAAACAAAATCGCAGATTGAGTGTAAGACAATTTAAAAAAGTATAATAGAAAAATGGATTTCCTTCAGTTTTAAAATATTAACATTCTGGAAAATATTGGCAACTCATAGAAGACTTAAAAAAAAAAAGACTATATTAAAAACCATTAGAAGAATAGAATCATGAATCAATTACTTTAATTTAAATTGAACTTACATCTATATGGGATTAAATTATATATTAAGTGAAAAAATTCAGAATAATTAATAAAAGTAAGACCTGTATATTTTCAACTTTTGAAAAAATTCAGCAAGAATTAATTAGCATTATCTTTAAAATAATTTTTAATTATTGTGAAGAATCATATCGATAAATAAAAAAAGGAAAATAAAAGCAATAAGATTACTTTTCTATCCAAAATTAATATTAATGCTCCCTTGGCTACTTAAGCTCTCTTGAAACATAATTATATTTCTTGATGAAACTATCTTCGGTCATTCCTATAAATCAATAAAATGTTGATAATTAAAAGTTCAAATAAAAACTAGGTTTATTGAAAATGGATAAAAATGAGTTTATTGTGAGGAATAGGGACTTAAGGATTCGTAGCCTACTCATTAATAATTTTAATTTGAAATTCTAAATTATATTTGTTTCGACTATAATAAATAAAAAAAAAGCCTTGATAATTAATAATGGTGTTAATAATCATTAAAGCCAAATTAAAAAGTTATTTTAAATAGTGTTACTCACTTATTTTTACTGGTAGATTGTCCTAAATTAGATCATATAGAAAGAGTTTGGAGTTAATTAAAAGAATGGTTAATAATGATAGCAATATATTGATAATGAGCATATATAACAGAATTTATAACTTCTTTTATGCTTAGACTGAATAAAAGATTGAATGATAAATAAATGGATTAATACTTTATTTATAAAAGGCATCTTCTAAGTAATAATTATGAATTATTGAAATATTCTTATATATTGACTGACCAATTATTAATTATTCATTGATGGAAATAACATTTAACTTTATACTTTGACAACATTATTGCAAAAAAACGAATAGGTATTTGACTATCTTTTAAATTTATTTCTGATTCTTCAGACCTTTTCACATGTTATCTCATAGATATGCATTTATTCATTATTATTAGCCTAAATCAAACAACTCACTTGTGATTAAACATAATCCATATTATTCTCCAACAATCTTTTATTTTAATACTCCATTTTCAGTCCCATTCTAAAGGTTTTATGATAGTTATTGAATTTTCGTTACTGCAGAAGATTAATTTAATTTATTATTATTTATTAATAGTTTATCCTAATACTCTATTTTTAAATCACCATTAATAGATTACTAAAAAAGACAATTGAGATTTTTTCTGCAGATACTTGATAGTCCTATCATCACCACTTGATATTATAAAATCGTCAGTTTTATTAATTAACACATACCTAATAGCGCTCGCTATCTTGACCTTCTAATTTTTTAGCATTCCCACAATTAGATTGATTAATTGAATATAGCATTATTTATTTTCACAAGATCTAATTTAATTAGAGAGCTTCATAAAATTGAAAAAAACACATAGTTTTTATGCTCTGTTAAAATTTAAAATAATTTAAAGAAACCTAATCTGAATTCAAATATCTTAAGTATTCTAACAATCGGCTGCCAATATCTGAATATCTTTATTAATTTCTATGGCATGACAAGGTTCAGATTTAATAATTGAAGTTTCTTATTTCTATTCGGAGATTAACTTTTGTCATTATTGGCTGTTGATTCGTAAATTAATTCTGAAAATGTTATTTTAGTAAAAATCAAAATATCCTATTTCATCATCAATATTACAGAAGATTAAAAATAGTGGTAACATTCTACAAGCATCATAGAATGGTTATAATTTGATTCTATTTTTTAATCTCTTTTTTTTTATATTACTTGTTATTTGTTAAGCCAATAATCTTTGGATTATTCTTATAAGCAATTAATTTTGATTAAGTTATTATTCAGAGATAAATTTAATTGTAAAATATCAACTATGGTATTCTTTATTTTCTTCTCAGAAGGTGGGTGGCAAGCCTTTGAATTAACGTATGATTATTTGTGGACACAAGCATATATTCTTGAAGATTTAGATGGGTTTTTTTAGTTAACGTATGTAATCCTCCATATTATAAAAAATCAAAATATATGTAAGTAATACATTTAAGAATTCTCTAGGTTTGGTAAAAATTTAACCAATTATTTAGGAAGATTTCTAATAATTATCCCTAATTTCTATTTTTCCATTGAATTGAAAGTAAATTTTACTTACAAAATTAAAGAATTCAGTTAAATTAAATGAAAGTATCTATAAAATAATTCACTCTTTTTTTATTAGTATGGGTCAGTTTTTAAAAGAGTCGCTGGATTTAAAAATGATATCCATAAAACCGAATTTCAATAAATATTTTCAAGGAATGAATTGAAAATTCTATTCTATAAATGAAATAATGATATTGAAACCTTAAGCAAACTTTTTTTTTGTTTATCGACGTAAATGCACTGATGAAATGAATCGTCTTAAGGACTTGGTTCTGCAATATAATTAACAGCTGACAACCTTTCATCGACAGAAAGTATGTTAAATAAATTAAAAATTTACTAAAGGTTTTGGATATTAATTAATTTTACTTGATAATCAATTAATAATCTAAAATAATGATATTTAGTCGAATTTAAATAAATTGCTATCCATCCTGATTTTTCATAGATTCTGTATGTGTTTATGAAGCGTTTTAAAGAGCTCAAATGTAACCATTCCATAATATATTAGATAGGGTCTAGGATTTTGGAAATCCCTAAAGAACAAAAATGAATAATTATAGACACCTTTTGACCTAAAGTCTGAAATAAATTTTTCTAATAGTATTGCTTAATTATATATCTTTAACCATCTCGCATTCCTTTTTCTAAATTTAATATAATTTGAAGGATCAATAGTATCGTAGAAGTCTTCGAAGCCAATATTTAAAAATTAAAAGTAGAATTTTTCTAACCTTTATAGTATCTTTTGATAATTTAAAGTGATTTAAGTATGAAAAATACTACTTTGATTGGTTATAGCAATAATAGGAAAAAATTCAATCCTTCTTCAATAGATTTATTACTAAATAAGTCAAATGAATATATAAAAAT